GCTCTCCATGGGTGCAAACAAGGCATGGCCATGCAAAACACCACACTCTTTTCCCTTTTTTGTGCCAGTCACCTCCATTCCTTCATTTTGGGTAGCAACGTGCAGTTTACAGACTGAAATGCTCTGTTTGTTCCATTTCTGCAGAATGATAGGAAAGGGGGAAAGTTGTGCAGTCCTCAGGCTGCTGCAACTGATTCAGCCTTTTAATGGAAAGTTGAAGAGGAAATTTCTGTGCTATCTTGGCCCTGCAGGCCATAAGGAAAGGCATTTCCACACTGCAGGTGGAGGTGTGACTGCAGCCTGGACAAACACAGCAGGGATCTGGGTCTGAAACTCAGGAGGATGCTATCGAGAGGTGACTGTAACCCTAAGATGCTGCAGTTTATATTCTTGCTCCATTAACTCTAACAACAGACTTCTGAGACCAGAGTTTTCTAAACCTGGTTTATAAATCATGCTAGTAAAAATGCACGGGAATTTACTTGTGCATAGCACAGAGCTCTGCAAATAAAATTAACCCTTTGTGCAAGGAGTGCAGCTAGTGTGAAGCAGATGCTTGGCACTTGGTGTTAGACTGATCAAATTTTGGGCTCGGTTTGTGGAAACCTGACAGCTGATACTGCACACCTTGGGCTTTGGATATTCAGCTTCTCCCCAGCTTTACCCAGACAGCTGAGAGGCCAGAGATGATGGGATGAGACCAGCCCCAACCTGGAAGCTGTTCTAGGCACATCAGTGTTGGACCATGAACCATCCACTTTACTTCCCAGCAACTAGTGATGGTCAACAGCTCCCAGCCTCAAGCTGAGCTTACACCTGCCTGCCCAGTGTGGTGGAGCTCAGTAGCGTTTGTACCCAAAGGTTTACTCTGCCCTTATCTGTTTTCCAGAAACTAACAAATACTCTTCAGTTCTTTGTGAAAATATGAGCCTTTAAAAATAGTTCAACTGGTCACCCTGAAAGAGACCCACTTGAAATCATGAACTGTTTTTCCACGCCTTGATCTTCATCTCTGAAAGGATTCTGCTTTCTGCTTATCTCAGGCAATCCTACCAGGCATATGTAACTTGAAGCCATGCCTGTGCAGGTCTCTGATGAGTACAAGCTTTTTGTAGCACCTGCACGACAGAGACGCAGCGCCTCTGCAAGGGTGAACTGGGTCACCTCCCACCTTGTGCATCAGCAACGAAATTGTGAGCTCAGTTCTGGTGGCAGGACCTTTATCAGTGGTGATGAATGGCAGAGGGGATTTTCATCTCTTTGATTAATTTTGCAGGGCTGACAGTTAGAAAGATCACATCTTGACTCCCATGCCAGGAGGTTTGAGTAAGAGAATCCTTGAGAGGTCTGGAGGAAGTAACTTTACTTCTGCAGTTCCCAAACCTTGAGCTCTCACAGCTCCTGCATGCCCGAGGCTGGGAAGTGGGCATGCAGCTAAACTGGCTGGCCTGGGGAAACCACGCTTGTGCTGCTGGGCTGGGGAGAGATGCAAATGAAATCATTGCCTTTGCGAGGGAAATACTGAGGCAGGAACAATCTATGTTGCCCACAGGAAGAATCTCCTTCCCTTCTGTGGGTTGTTTGGAAAAAAAGAAAAACAGGATGAATTTGACCTCTTTTTCGCTAGGGACATGAACCTGGTATGAAGTGGAGCAACAGCTGGACAAAGCCTCAGGGTGAGAGTTTGAAGCAGACAAGTGAGCTTTTCTTTTGCTCCTTACGTCCTCCTTGCTGCTGTGGCTCACCCATTCTCCCTGCCTTTCACCCCACACCCGCTCCTGAGCATCTCTCTCCTCCACGACCCAGGTCGCCTATACAGGCTTTTCCTTGCTTTTTCTTCTATCAAAACCAGTTATTGCTCACTCAGCTCATTCCTCTCCTGTCCTCATGCTCTCCTCTACAGCCACAATAAGGAGCTGGCCATCTCCTCTTGAGATATCTACTTATGGTCTGTGTCTGAACATTTTTAATTAGGAGAATGCAAATCTCATGTTGCTCCACTGCTCAAAAGAAACTTGTTTCTGCCTCCTCTTAGGACACTGTGATCTTCTTCCTTCCTTATTCCAAGGACATAATATGTGAATAATATGTGATATTTCAGCCGAGACCATGAACTCAACAGATGAAGGAGCTTCCAGTACTTCCACAAACACAGAATATTTTTATCCCCTTTATGGAAAGAAAAAAAAAAAAAAATCATCTGAACTATGTTACAAACAGTGTATCATGAGGAGCAAAAGGAAGGAATATGCTACATTTTTCCCAGTCTCATGGGATGCTCTGGGCTCCCTATGGGACTTCAGACAGAGTGATCTTACACTTCATTTCTTAATAAACTGGGGAGTCCCAGGCACAAGTCCTAAAGAGGGCAGCAGAATCAAACCCAGACCTCTTGCCTATGGCTGGCTGAAGCAATGCTGGTGCTGCTAATTGAATGTGCTTTATGTACGAGTGTAGTTCAGTACATACATCCAGAACATGCTGTGTATCATTTGCTGATATACAAACCGACTGGGACAATTTACAATGGTGATTTTTCCACTGACGGGTAAATTAATGCTCTCTATTATAGGCATTTAATCAATGCCAGCTCCCTAAGTCTTTAAACAGGCCACCAAGATAGAAGATTGATTGGTCTGAATGCATCATATATAAAACAGGAATACTTCATAAGAACATAAATGACATGTTTGTTTCCCAAAGCCACAAAGAGAACTCTGTGGTAAGGAGGAGTGTTGACAACCTCGTACCGAGACACAACGAAGGGACAGGACTTGTGTTTGTTGTGGAGTTTTTGTCTTTGTTTCTGTTTGTTGGTTTGGTTTTGGTTTTTGTTTCTTTTTTTTTTTTTTTTTTTTTTTTTTTTTTTTTCCCAAGGCAAGTAGACTGAAATTACCTCAAGATGGGGAGGAAGATCCTTCAAGCTCTGCAAATGGGCATGGTTATTTGTCTGGAAGGGATCATGGTGATCCCTGCGCTGCCTGTGTGGCTTGCAGAGATGCTGCTCCCACACTGTGCTTCACAGCAAAATTAGCAGATCACCACAGAGCTCTGAAATTTGGCTTTGTAGTTACACAGGTGGCCAGAACTCCAAAGGTGCCAATCCCCCACCCCATCCAATTTATTAATATTATATCTCTTTTTATTTAGAACAATGTAACTAATTGCTACTTGGCTCAGCTGGGAGGCTAAACCTCACTTCCAAGCTGTGTTTTGGGCACCCAGGTGCTTTTGGTGGAAAGGATTTGCTGGGACCATGGGAAACCAGTGTTTTCCTGAGTGTATGCACTCTTAACTGGGACAAATGGGAAGTGAAACATGCTAACCCAAGGACCCCTGAAAGAGGTGTAAACTGGCTCATTTTATCTCATGTAAGCAATGGGTGAAATACACAGCGTGTCAGTTTGCATTCCTTCCTGACCTTTGCAAAGTCATTAAGTTGGAGTACTGAGCACTGATTTGATTTTAAAACTGAGACCTATCATCCTAAAGTAATGGGATAAAGTATACCTTTTATTATTACGGCTAAACACACCTCTAGTTGCATAAATAAAAGGGCATGCATAAAGTGATGGTCACTCTGTCAGGATCCTGAACCCAAACTGCTTGTGAAAGCCAATGAGGCTGGGGAGGCTCAGGCACTTAAACCTTAATCATGCTTAAAATGGGATTTAAGTGTCTATGTGCTTCGGAAATTTATTTCCTTTGGCTTCTCTCAGGTCTGTCAGATTGTGATTAGGAAATCAGGCGAACTTCACAGCTGGAAAGATCGTCACCGTATTCCTCCCAACTGGATGGAGAGAGCCACACATGGTTTCTGTTGATGGAAAGCCACAGAGCTCAGTAAATAAGACTTGGTGTCTTGAAACTTCATTACTATACACCCACAAAGTGTCTTGTGTACGTCACTGAAATTAAGGAGAAAACAGAAGTTTGTGGTAGTGTTTCTGGGGTAGCAGGGAAGTAGTAGCATCCTTTAAATACATTCTGACCTTGTCCATGCAGTGCTCCTGAGTTTAGCCAAGGGATCAGCACAGCTTTTTATCCTTAGCCCTGAAATCCTCTGCTTTGTGAGCTGGTTTATCTTCTCAATAAAGCACATGAGGGTATCATTTACAGCCCAGTAAATTCATACCTCGCTTATTCAGTGGCACACGGCCTTCGGACTCCCAGTTAAAAACACCTAAGTGTGACTCGTTGTGCTGTAACTCACATTTTGTCACAGCTCCTGGCTTAATTATAAAGCACTAAAAATGTGAAGTAACAAAAATAATTACTGTAATGAACTAATGAAATATAATATATTTTGCTGAAATTAAAAAAGTCTCTGTCTGGACTGAAACGTCCAAACACTAACCTGTGTGTAGGGACTGATTATGATCTGAGGTACATTAGAGTAACGATGACTTCTGTTGGACTGCTCCACTTCCCAAATCAGAACTTAGTTATATGGGGAATATGTCTTTATGTTTGCATGACACTTCTAACAGATATATTCGTCACTGTGAACAACTGAACTGTACCCCCCAGTTCCACACTGCTGTGGGATATTTGCACAGTTTACAGTGAGCTAGACCTGGGAAAGACCAGAGACTATGTGCAAACTCTCCTGCTGCGTGGGTTTCACCACTCCAGTACCTTCAGGGCTGGTTCATTGTCTTCTGTTGTCTTGTTGAAATGAGCCATGTGATGAGATCTTCAGAGCTGAGTTCTGAGATGCTGGTGGCCTCAGGGCACCGTACGGGTCCAGTTCCTCAAGTCACTTGTAACACACGTTGTCACTGTAAGGCTGTCCGTGGTCCGTGCAGAGAACCTTATCATCCACCTCACAATAAGGACCTTCTCTTGTAGCATCCACATGGAGCTTGTGAGTTGGTCTGTGCTGCCGTTGCTATAACATGAACGTGAATGGGAGATATTCAGGTGTTTGGGGATCGTGATGATTTCTGTATGTAAATACTGACTCACAGTTCCCTTCTACTTTTTAGTTCCCTACTTTTTGAAGGAGACACCTACGTGTGTTGGTTTGATTCATACCTCACACTCCCCGCCAAAGGCTGGAAGAGCTGGCAGAAGGAGGGAGTGAGAAATGTGTGTATGCAAAGAAAACATGGACACCTAGGCACCTGAAACGGGTATTCACTCAGTTTTTTGACTTGCTTTTTTGACTGTGAAATGCAGGTTTTAATATATCAGCCACATGCATTTGACTTCTAAAATCAGCATTTAGACTTCTGAAATAGGCACCTGTTTTTTTCATCAGAGCAACCAACTATGAGTTTTGGTATCTCTTTTGCATCAATTGGATGCATATTAAGTGTCATGAGGACAGCATTTTTCATTGACAATGCAGTCAGGCAGGACTAAGTTGTTGACAGGAGCTAAAATGTTTGGGGAAACAAATCCACCAGTTGTCAGGGCACTGGCAGTCTCTGTCCAAGAGGTGTGTCATGAAGAAGCATAAATTTTATGTGTAGCATGCAAACTGTGTCTTTAAACAAAATTAGAAATGTTTGAAGTGTCAACTTGCTTGATAAAGTTGCATTTGGAGCAGTATCCCCATGACTCACAAATGGCAAATCCAAAACCTAAAGCAGTGTGGGAACAGGCAGCACCACAGAACTGTGTCCTTAACTGGCAAAATGCTGAGAGTAGAAATATTCCTGTTTGATCATCTAACAGACCTGCTACAACAGTTCTTGGTAATTCTGAATACTGTTTTTCACAGAGATGAAATCTTTTTCTTTAGGATTTTTGTGTTTTAAAGAATTACACATGATCCCAGTTGTCAGACAGGGCCCAATTCACCCACCACAGAAGTAACTTCTGCTTCTCCCTCTGTGTTATCTGGCCATGAATGGCATCTGGGAACACCAGCTACTCACTAATCTGTGAAACCAAGAATGAGAATTGTGTTTAATGGGCCTCTTAAGTAATGCATGTACTCAGGATTTCACACATTTCTGGTATTACCACTGATTGTGGGCTGCCATGCAGATAACTGAAATTTGCAAAAATGCACAACTGTTATTAGGATTGAGTCTTGCTATTATCCGTGTTTGTGTGTCATTTACTGTAAGAGCAGATTTTAAAAGGTAATTAAGGGAAAAACTTCACAGTTTTGTCCTGCTCTCATTCTTAACCACTGAAATTAAAATAAGTTATAGTCACTAAATGTTATACCCAGGTCTCAGCATAGGACTGGGCTCATTAGAAAATGAGTGTTTGACAGCACTACTGCCCTGGTAAACTCCATCAGCATATCCCTGCTAAACCTAGACTGGGGGGGGCAGCAGAATTCAGTCTTCTTCACACAGCCCTATGCCTGGTTTCCATCCCTGCTCACATGCATCCTCTGAGTGCCTGCAACAGCGGGTCTTCAGTGCAAAATAAACCCAGCTGTAGGTTTGTGCTAAACACCACTGTCTTTTACAAGCTGAGTGGACGCCAGTTCATTTTGCACAGCACAGGAGTGCAGTGGTTCATTTTCCGCCCAAGCTAACTGGGACCCAGTGAAAGGAAAGTTTTTGTACTTACTCAACAGTCTTTAGAGCTTTTATGGAGTTGCCACACCAGTCGTGTCCTTCCTGGGCTCACTCTGGCAGTGAGTGGACCCTCTCTGAAGCTGCCAATAACATTAAACCATGTAGTATGAAAAACCTCCCTTGGGGACCAAAAGTGCCTCTTTGTGTGTCACCTTCTGGGAGGCAGCCCTGGTGCAGCTGTGTCCAGCTGTTTGTTCTCAGGGGAGGTGCTGAAGGGGATGTCCAGGTGTAGCTGGCAGCATTTACTCAAAGCTGCAGATCATCCTTTATGGTCATATTAGAAAGTGGCACTTGCCTTTGCACAGATAACAAGAAATTTCATATTTAGTATTATCAGATTTTCCAGCTACTCTGCAGAAACAGCTGTCAGCAAATCTGTGACAGCAGATGTTGGGATGTTACTCAGTGTACTGTGTGCTAATCTGCTGCTCTTCCCTCCCCAATTGAGAGTCTTTTTTTTTTTTTTGCTATCACAGGAGGAAGCTTAGACTGCTATAAGAGTGTGTGGCAAAGTAGTCTGGGTCCTTCCAGAGTAAGGAACCTTAGGCAGGTGCTCGCTTTTCCAGTCAATTGACCTTATTTAAAGTGTCCCGTCAAGACAATGGTCTTGTGCTTTGCTTTCCCACTACTCCGTAGGCATTATCAGGCTGGATTTTCTCAAAAGAGCAGTGAAGAAACCCGTGGGTTGGAGGTGACAGCAAAAGCAACACACTGGCTGAGCTGCACTCCACTAATCTCCAGCTACCTGGGCCTGATCCAGCTTGCAGGCAGATCAGTGTAAATTGTGGCATATCTTGCAAATACCGTCTCCTTTTTTTATGAGGTGTACATTATGCCTTTGAGTATACGTGAAAATATCTGCCAGCCAATGCATAGGGCTAACTGCTAATGAAATCCAGACTCTAGCTGTCCTTTGACATTTCAGTTGGAGCTTTGGAGACACCATTTTCTGGTGCTCAGCCACTAAAACTCAAACTCAGAAGAAGCATCTAATGTAGTCCAAATTCATACACCTCTTTCTCAGCAGCAGTGCTGGTTTGAGCAGATCTCCCAACTCAGTCTTTGAAACTTAAAATCTCTGAAGTCCCCACCTTGAACAGCATCTTCCCTCTGTATGATCTGGAAACACGCAGAGCTGGTCTTGCTAAGAGAAACTCTCTGGCTGAACTCCTGCTGGTGATCTCTGGGACCATGTCATGATGTCCCCTTGTTTCTCTGTTACACGAATGTAACTCCGATGTGAATTTGCACATGGACAAATCCAACACATGATTGCTGCATGAGTACCTGTAACTATGTCATTGGGCAGTCTGAATTTCAAATCATCATAGAGTTTGTACAGTCTGGCAAACCTGCTTAGAAATCTCAGATTATTTTTTAGCTCTGCAATTTCTGAATAAAATCCAAAATTATCAGAAAGAAGAATAGTTATACATTCTTACCAGATTAATGTCCTGTATTATGGGAAGCCAAATCATTATAGAACTGAGATTACAGGTGTGAAATTAGAAGCAAAAATGAGACTGGTTTCCTGGCTTTTCTCTGACCAATAAAGACGTCTAGAAAAAGCTGCCTGCCATCTGACTTGTAACATCTATGTCTACCTCAGAGCTGGTCATGCAAAGCTCCTGATACAGTGGATGCAAAGAAGGTATTTAAGGCCATGGTTCATCTCATCTATTTTAGAATGAGATGAATGATGCCTTGGAAGTGCTTCCGTGACTGTAGACAGAGGTCAAGGTGACTTGCTTAGATACAGACATCACATTTCTGACTTCTTTTGGTAAGAAAAATCCTGCCTGTGGTGATGATGCATCTGGGTTTAGAAATATACTGAAGAAAAACACAAAAGAGAGAAGGAAAGGCTGTATTTATATTGCACTGCATTTTGTACTCAGCTATTATTAAGGGCAAATGCACATTTTAAAAAACAACCCAAGTCTCTCAATAGATTCGTCTGTGTGAGCTGACAGGAAAGGTCTACAAAGCAGTATTTCATAATGTCTGGTGAGAATGCTGTGCAAACTCATTGTTTGCCTTGATCTGGAAAGAACTGCCCCTGGAGAGGAAGAGGAGGAAGCAAGATACAATAACGATGGTTTCTGAGAAACTTTGCAAGGAAATGGAACAATAACAGAGTGGAAGATCAACAATTCCAGGTAAACAACATGCCAATATGTTGATTTTACATGTATGGGAATTTTCATCCTTATATTATTAATCTCTCACAGGTAATGCTGTGATTAGTGTTCTTCCAAAACAAGTCAAAGATTAGCTGCAGCCTCTGTGGAAGTGATTGATAAGAATTCCCATATTATATACAAAAAATAACGATTCCCATGGTGACATTCTGGATAGAAAGTTTACTTCTTTTCAATTTCTCTGTGAAAATACACCAACATGTCTTTTTTGTTTCAGCAACACCTGGAATAAATCTATACCATGGAGCAAGGCTGTTGCTATCCCAAAATGAACCCCTTTGCACATGCTCTTCATGGTAACTTCTGCACTTCTGCTCACTCTTGCAGTTTTATGCCAGATTCACATTTACATTGACTCAAAAAGCTTTCAACTCTACTGAAAAAATCCTCTAGTTTTAGCTTCCATGCCCTTCCTTCCTTGTGATCACTGTGACCAAACTGGTGATTTCCTGATTGGTTTCTACCCTGGTAGGATTCAGGTTTAGAAAAATAGTTTTGCTGAGCCCATAACCAGCTGTTGTGCTGCTAAAGCACGGCTCCTCACTGTTTCTGGTCCTGACAACCTCCTATTTCAGAGATGGTCACTGAGTCACAGTCCCATCTCTCTTTAACATAAGCTGTGAGCCTACAAAAAATGACAATCACAACTCGTAAATGCACAGAGCACTCATAAAATCACAGCTGGAATTCATAAATTGGCCATAGGTGGTCCCCAAACTGTCGCAATGTGCTGGTCTGTCTGCCTTCATGGATGTGCTCCCAAACCCTCCCCCTCTCCCTTGACCAAATGTTGGCCAGACAATCACTTATTTCGGGATTTACAATGCAGTATTACTTACAATGAGATTTGTTTTATTTCATTCTGGTAAGTTCATTTTCTTCTCTCTCTTGCACAGAATACAAGATTACCCTGAAGAATAAAATAAAAGAATTAATTGACATTTTAATTAATTACAACTTTTAATTAATATTCACCAGGGTGACAAGTGTTCTGGAATGCAAAACAGGAGTAATTCCTGAGGAAAAAAGGGAAAGGCCCTGCAGTTTGTGTTCAGGTTAAATGAAGATCTTGTAGCTGAATATATGATTATATCAGGTATCTGCTGACTCCGTTTAATGCCTGAAACTTTTGCTCATTTTGAAACAGCATGGGCAGTTCTCTATTAACAATATCAGGGCCTGTGAGCAGGGCTCAGAGGCAGAATACACTGACTGAGTAGAAAGCATGGTCCATAACCTAAACAACTCAATATCTAAAAGCCTTGGTTGAGCTCAGGCACCGTACCACAGAGAGAGAGAGGTCAAGAGATGGACATGACATGTGCCATCTCCTTCTCCCGCTCTTTGCAGCCTGCCTTCTCTCATGCACTGAAGAAACCCATGTAGGAAAACACAGGAGATCTGCAGTCTGTCAATGGCTCTGCAGGAGCTGAAGAACTCCCAACAGCCACCCACCACCCATCCTTGCTATGAAATACTGAGCAAGGCTGTCATGAAGTGTTGCATGGATGTGCTGTATTTTATTTGCATAGTGGGGATCCCTTGCCTGAATTGCTATAAAACCTGTCTTGTAATTTTCTCCCAAGCATGAACTATCGCTCTTTGGCATGCCTATGAAAGATGGGTTCCTTTTACACACTGGTGGTAAAGAGGGGAAAGGGGAAATTCTCCCTGTATACAATTTAGTATTCACTTCATAATGCAGTTTATGTGTTAGTAATACTCCACTAATTGCAAGGAATAGTTGGTGCTTACAGGCTGTGATCCTGAAGGATGGGGCAGGGCTGTACTACAGGTGGGATCGGGTGTTTGGTAAAAGAAAGAAACCATTGTGTTTTTTTCTTAGCTTAAACAACTGTAGCGGTTTGTGGAAAGAGATGAACTAAGAGTGGAGGAGAATTCCCTGTCCTGACTTTCCAGCATGAATATCAGTACCTTCTGCAGAGACAACTACTAAAATGGGTTAGTGCCAAAAATCATTTTACTGCCCAGAAATAGTTCTTAGCTCATTTGACTTTGCAGTAGATTTGAAAGGATGATGGTGGAGGAGACTTTTCATCCCTTGGTCATCCCTTGAAACATAGACATTTCCCATCATCAGTGGAGGACATGATCATACAACACAGTCAAGTTGCCCCAGTGATTGATTTTCACTGAAAAAAAGAGATTTTCTTCCCCTCTGTTCCTTTCCTCCTCACCCTCACCTGCACTCCAACAGCGATCCTGTCCTGACCCTTGCATGAGCCAACTCACCTTTCTTTCTGGGTTAGTTTTCTGCCATGTTAGTGAATTCACTCAGTTCAGCAAGAACGAGGAAAACCATTCCAGTCACATCAAGAGAAGCAGAAATACACAGCTGGGAGCAGGGGAAAAAGAAAACAGGGAGCCAGAAAGGATAAGATCTGCCCTTTCTCACCAGCAGTGACCATTAGACTGACTCAACTATGTGATTCAAGGGTCTTTGAGAATGTTTCGCTGGAAAGATAACTTTCTGATAGCACAGCAGTTTGGATACTCCTTTACCAGTTCAGAGAAAGTATTATCATCTTGAATAGCATTTTCATCTTTGAGGTGCCACACAAAAGTTAGGCTGTGGTCCTTCAATCCTCTCTCAGACAAAACTCCCCTGGGCTGCAAATGAGCTGTTGCAACACCAGAGCAGTCCATGGCAGAGGCTGAACGTGCTCCTTTAGAGATAGTAGTTTGATTATGCTCTTTTATTGGTGGTGATGATAGGTTCCAAACTGTCTTAGATGTCAGCCCATGACTTATCTCAATCTTAAGTGACCCCCAGGTGTTAAGAAGCATTTTTGACAAGAGTTAAGATTACACTCACTTGCTTTGGAAGTGGTTTGAAGGAAGCTTGGGACCCTTCTTGGGCGTCTCTGCTGATATTGGTTGTGTGATGTTATCACAGTAGAGTAGGAATAGATGGAGCTGGACTTATCTGTCCATCTGGAAGCTAAGCTGTAGGATATGCTCTGAGACACAGAAGACTTGTTGACTCCTACACCAGGAGGAAAAGATGAAGCTGAAATCACTCAGGACATGAAGAGGGAAAAGAGTCACCAGACCTGGTCTTGTGACCACTTCAGCACTCCAGTAGTCAAGAAAGCCAATTGACTTCAGGATGAAAATACAGATCTCTCTGTGCATCAGCTATGCTGAATCAGGCCCTAAATAGCAAAGTAATTTACTGCAATCCCATCTTTGCCAATTAAGAGTCTTCTGCTTCTAAATCGAAGAAAGCTTCAATGTTAATTTTAAAATATTGCTGGCATTTATCACAGTAATTACTTTAGCCATGTAAAACTCCAGATGCCATAAATAGTGTTGATACTATAGATTAAATGTTCCCAAGGTACGTATTACTGTTGCTACAAAACACACACACAGACAATGATGTTCCTTTTCAAGATCAACATTTTTTGGGCTCATGCATAACAGTTTGAGCACACAGTTGCTTCATCAGATTTCTGAAGATGACTGATGTTCTTTGTCAAAAGCCATCCATCTTTATCAGTGGCCATATTTTGGAAGAGAAAATGAAGAATACCTGGGCAAACACATTCACAAACTGTAATACGAAAACAGATTTAATAGAATGGTTTGGGTTGGAAGAGATCTTAAAGATCATCTAGTTCCAACCCTACTGCCATGGGCAGGGACACCTTCCACTAGACCAGGTTGCTCAAAGCCCTGTCCAACCTGGCCTTGAGCCCTTCCAGGGAGGGGGCAGCCACAGCTGCTCTGGGAACCCTGTGCCAGCGCCTCACCACCCTCACAGTAAAGAATTTCTTCTTTAATCTAAATCTACCCTCTTTCAGTTTAAAGCCGTTACCCCTTGACCTATTGCTACATGACCTTGTAAAACGTCCCTCTCCAGCTCAAGCAAGTCCATGACTTTCTTATGTTGGGGGTCCCAGAGCTGAATGCAGTACTTCAGATGCGGTCTGACAAGAACAGAGTAGAGAAGAATCACCTCCCTCAACCTGCTGGTTAAGCTTCTTTTGATGTAGCCTGGGATATAGTTGGCTTTCTGGGCTGCAAAAACATTGCTGGATCATGTTGAGCTTCTTGTCAGCCAACACCCCCAAGTGCTTCTCTGCAGGGCTGCTCTCAATCCATTCTCCTCCCAGCCTGTATTTGTATTTGGGATTGCCCCGGTACATGTGCAGGACCTTGAACTTGGCCTTGTTGAACTTCATGAGGTTTGCACAGGCAAGGTCCCTCTGGATGGCATCGCTTCTCTCCAGTGTGTTCACTGCACCACAGAGTTTAGTGTTGGCAAACTTGCTGATGGTCCACTCAATCCCACTGTCCATGTTGCCAACAATTATGTTAAACAGTGCTGGTCCCAACACTGACCCCTGAGGAACGCCACTCGTCACTGCTCTCCACTTGGACATTGAGCCATTGACCCTGGCTATCCAGCCAATTCCTTATCTACCAAGTGGTCCATCTGTCAAATCAATGTATCTCCAATTTAGAGTCAAGGATGTTGTGTGGGACAGTGTCAAATGCTTTGCACAAGTCCAGGTAGATGATGTCAGTTGCTCTTCCCTTATCCACCAACACTGTAACCCCGTCATAGAAGGCCACCAAATTCTTCAGGCTTGATTTGCCTATAGTGAAGCCATGTTGGCTGTCACCAATCACCTCCTTATTTTCCATGTGCCCCAGCATAGTTTCCAGGAGGATCTGCTCTGTGATCTTGCCAGGCACTGAGGTGACACTGGCTGGCCTGTAGCTCCCCAGGTCTTCCTTTTTTCCCTTTTTGAAAATGGGAGTTATGTTTCCCCTTTTCCAGTTAGAAGGGATTTCACCAGACTGCCACAACTTCCCAAATAGGGTGGATAGTGACTTAGCCACTTCATCTTCCAGTTCCCTCAGGACTGGTGGATGCATCTCATCACGTCCCATGGACTTGTGCACCATCAGGCTCCTTAGATGGTCTC